TGGACCGAATCAAACGCACCCTTAGTGATTTATTCTTTAGTCCTTGTTTGACAAAGTTTTTTGAAATTATAAGTTGATCGGTACAACAAAATATATGGTTAAAAAGTAAAATTTGACGAGCTTATATTCTCTAAATAGTTTGATGGATAGTTTCGAAAAATAAATTCCCTTTAGGCCTTGTTTGAACCACCTTATTGTAGAATGAAAATGAAAAATATAGTCGTTATTGAGGCCCACACATGAGATAGAAAATTTGAATTTGAATGTTGATGTGATGGATAACGGTCATATTCTTCATTTTAATGAGAAAATAAGGTGGCTTAAACAGGGATTAAATAATTTGTAAAAATTCATCACGAGTCACTATGAAATGATCGACAACTAATTGCTCTGAGTTGCTGTCAACGTCGTCCTAACCGCCACGCTTTTGGATGAACAAGTAAGCAAATCACATGATTAACGTTTGGAGGATTTGTTAGAATTCCATCAGTCATCTTAGTCTTAATCAAGGGTTGTTACTTGTTATAATTCCTTAATCAAAGCTGTTTTTTCAAATGTGATCATACCCTAACACGTCACACTTTAACATAAAAAATGATTAGTTTGGGCGTATTGGCCATGGTTACTGTTTATTAATTGAGATTGGCAGTTGAATAATAGGATATAATATTGAATTACTTAACTCCCATTCTTCTCTGATTTCTTCTATTCTTTAACGCAATAGTAAAGCAACAATATATAAAATATAGTGATGGCAAAAAAATTCGATCCCCGCCCCGTCCCGTCCTGTGAAGAATAAAAAAATTAATTAATTAATTACAAATTACAAAAGTACAAAAAATGCAACTGACAGGCAATCGTAAAGTTTAAACCTCATATCTTCATACCATATCCCTCTCTCTCTCTCTCTCTCTCTCACACTGACTCGCCCACAATCTCTCACTCGCCCTCATATCCTAATTATTTTTGGACATTGTTTGTTTTGAGTGCTTGCTTTTGATATTGATATAATTAGTTTGAGCAT